TTTAAAATATTTTATTTCCATTTCTTGCATTAGGGTGTCCTCTAATATGCATGCAGTAACTACAGAGACCAGAATATAGCTTAGAAAAATTGGCTTTATAATTTTTGTTGGCTGCCATTTGGGTGCTGATCCTCTGGGAGAACAGGCTGCCCTCTTAAATGCTGCAGGAGCGTTGTCCCTTGTTGCTCAGGTTTTATCTGAAGTTAGGCTTATTAACTAGCTAGTTTTAGTAAAAGATGTGACCCTGCCCTCTAGTTAGGCTGACACCTTTCCACTAACATTTTCTTCCTACATGTTCCCACAGTGTTAGGAAGCCATATATCATGTAGTGTAGCATCCAAGTTTGTTAAATTCTATTTGGTTTCCCAGTCTTTTAAACTGTGAACTTGGAGACAGAGAGAGATAGCTTAGCATTAAGAAGATGGGCTGATCTCATAGAAGACCTAGGTATGATTTCAAGCACTTATATCATTGCTCACAACTGAGCAAAACTCAAGTTTTAGGAGATTACAACTGTATAGGCAGAAAGAATTCATGTGGTGCACACATGTATATGTCAGCAACACAGTCATATAAGTAAAAATAAATATAGTGTAAGGCATGTCTGGTCATTTTAATAGTTTTTTGAAAGGATAATAACTATCAACAAAACTCCAGAGTGTGCAGTCTCAAGAGACTTAGTTGTGTTTTTATTCTGTCAATTGACTATTTTATTAAATTTTTTTTCAGACAATGTATGAGGTAAAAATACAAATATAAAATAGTTGATAATTGTGGGAAAGACATCAATACACAGTTCCAGGCACAACCTAGAACACTGGAAATATTTAATGTAACATCTAAACATAAGTTTTCATATGCTCCCATAAAATCATGTCCTGTTATGTCCCTAGCTATATATCCAACACTCTTCCCAACAAGGTCCGTTCATCACGGAGTCAGTGATTATGGACATGATATATGTTGATTGCTAGTTTTCAACAGGATCTAAAGAAGAGCAACAAAACTGTTCCTCATTTCAGTTATTAAAGAATATCTATTACACTCCACACAGAAGAATTTTCCTGTATTTGTCTCCAACTCTATGTAGTCCATATCATCTAAGGAGAATCCAATGCCCACATTCATTGGTACAATTTCCCACTGAGAATGCATGTTCTCAAAAGAAGCAAACAGGCTAAACCACAGGTCATTCCCACTAGGGATCCAGGAAGGTGACTGAAGATCTGCATTTTCCCCTTTTCTTACAGACCCATATCCTTAGGCTCACATTCAGCTTCACACGGGAACTGTAGAGGGCCTGTTTTGAACTGCATAGAAACTCTGTGCAAGTGAGACTTAAGGTAGCATTCTTACTGATAGGCTTGGCAAACCAAATTTGGGAGGAGGCAAACCTCTCCCATCAATAGAGTGCCTTGCCAATGGTCAGTCCTTGAGAACACAGATGTGCACTGTATTTCAAAGGCTTTGATTAGGTTGTGGTTTGTCCTCTAATGAGGTGCTTTTACATAGTATATTACAACAAGAATTTTTCCCATAACACAGAGCTTTTTGTTTAGATTAGCTAGGGAAAGGGGCTCTTGAAATTATTTGCAACCAAGTTTCTAGTCTATGAAATTATTTTCACGTATTATGGGAACCTAGTTTGAAACATGATTTGAGTATTATAAAAAGAGCACTGGCTTTGCAAAAAAGTATGCAGTTGTATCTCCTGATCTGCATCCCCTGTGTCCTGATCTCTACCCAGGGTCATCCATAACTGAGGAAGTTGGGGAAGGGTCCCCAACAGGAAACAACTTCTTCAGGCTTCTCTAGCCCTTGTGCCATCTCCTGGGGGTCCCCAGGAATCTTCCCCTCCTAGCCACTCTCCTTAGCTTTATCACAGTCCCACAACCCCAAACACATGCCCTGAAAATGCTATACCTACCATGAAAGAAGATAGACTACGTGTAGATCATTAACTCGGTACTCTACCTCCTTATCAGAATACTCCGTTTTATCTGCTGTCTTATAGCAGACCTCCTCTGGTGTCCTCTTTTTACCTTGTATCCTGATTTCAAGGAGACTAAATGAACATATCCTGTTTGAAAACTCTTATCCTTTTCTTTGGAAACACTTCAGACTCCTAGCCTATCCCCGTTCCTAAGTGCCATGTCTAATGCCCAGAAAGAAAATATAGCTGGAACACTCACGATTCACACCAATCAGGGCAACAGAAAATTTCCTACCAGGTACCACACATCCATCACAGTCTCCTAAAAGTCAGAGAAGAAACAAAAACCAAGAAACAAAACAGCCACCCATCAAAGGAAAAAAAAACAGATATCAGAACCTATAGGTGCAATCTTAGTAATCCTAGGTATTTAGACATCTCCTAGAACACAGTGACAACCAGCCAGGGCCATATGTCTCCACTAGTGCTCTGTAACACTACCACTGCAGCCTTTAAATAGTCCAACATAGCAGAAGCCCAATAACAAGACCTTAAAATAGCCTGTATGAATATGATGGGGTTTATTTTTGCTTATGTCAGAAACTGTTTTTTTCAATTTTATTTAGATAATATTCTTTCATTTATTTTACATTTATTTTTCCCCCTCCTCTCTTCTGGTCTCCTCCTTCTGCGCATCTACCCGACTCTCCATCTGTTTCTCCTCCATCTCCATTCAGAAGGAGGCAGGCCTCTCATGGACTTGCACTAAATATGGCATATCAAGTTTAGGCATGATGGAACTCTTCCCCATAATTCCAGGCAGGACAAGGTAATTCAGCATGTAGAACATATTATCAAAAGTCAGCTAAGCAACAGGAATAGGTCCTGCTCTCACTGTTAGAAATTTAATAACAGACCAAGCTACACAATTGTCACACACATGCATGCAGAGGCCAAGATTGGACACATGCAAGCTCTGTAACTGTTGGTATATCATCCATTAGGCTCAGTGAACTCAGGTTAACTATCTCTGTGGGTTCCCCCATCATGACTAACTTGGTTCAGCTAACCCAGTCCTTCTCACTTTCTTCCGTAGGACTCTTAAGATCAGCGCACTGCTTGTCTGTGGACCTCTGCATCTGCTTCCATCAGTTACTGGATAGAGTGTCTCTGAGAGCAGTTAGGGTAGTCTCCAGTCTAATTACAGTAGATAGCCAGTTCTTGCACACTCTCTAGTATTGGTGGGAGTCTTATTTGGGATCATTTTGTGGATTCTTGAAGATCATACTGGCAACAGGATTCTCCCCAACTCCATAATGGTCCCTTCTATCAAGACATCTCTTTCCTTACTCTCGTCCTCCAGGCTGCCTCTAACTTACTTCATACACCCAGTCCAATCAAACAACTCCCTCCATTTCCCATCCTTCCATCCTATAACTCCTGGCCCCCAGGCTACCCAGGAGAAAATTTCTATTTCCCATTCCCAGTGAAATTCATGGAATCCTCTTTGGATCTACCTTATTATCTAGACTCTCTGGGGCTGTGGATTGTAGGTTGGTTTTCCTATACCTTATTCCTAATAACCACCTATGTGTAAACACATACCATGTTTGTCTTTCTGTTCTGGGCTACCTCACTCAGAATGATTTTTTTCTTGTTCCATCCATTTGTCTGCAAATTTAATTCAGTAAAACACAATCAAGTTGGAAGGACATTAAAGAAACAATCCAAGACCAATAAATGTAAATGAAGTCATTAATTAGTAAAAGGACCCAAAATGAAAAATATCAGAAAGGTAAAACTTTAGGAACTCAAACAGGAAAAACAGAGCTGAGATTACCATCAGAATGCATCATTCCAACTCAGTTTTCACAGGGATCCAAAGAAAAATATTCAGCTTCATATTGATAAACAACAAATAACAGAATAGCTGAAATAATCATGAACAATAAAAGAACTTCTGGAAATATCAGCATTCCTGATTTCAAGTTGTACTAAAATCCTTCACTATTAAAAATATGTTATTGGTATAAACAGAGACAAATCAATCAAATGGAATTCAATTGAAATCCTAGATAGAAATTTATACAGCTATGGGCACCTAGTTTTGATAAGTAAGAAAAGCAGACTTGAAAAAAATATGGAATCTTCAACAAACGGTGATAGTCCAACTCAATGTCTGCATACAGAAGAAAATAAATATATCTATACTGATCATCCTGTATAAAACTCAAGTCCAAATTTATCAAAGCTTTCAAGATAAAACCAGATACACTGAACATGGTAGAAGAGAAAGTGGGAAAGAGCCTCAAAATCATTGGACTAGAAGTAGAATTTCTGGAAAGAAAACACCAATAGTGTAGAGAATAGGACCAGCAATCAATAAATAGGGCTTCATCAAACTGAAAAACTCCTCAAAAGCAACCTAAATAATGGGAAAATATTTTTAGCAACTCAACATCTGACAGAGAACTAATATCCAAAATATATGGAGTACTCAAGAGACTATATATCAAAAATCAAAGATTGTAATTTTAAATGGATCCCAAACTAACTGAATATTCTCAAAAGGAAAACTCAAATTGACTGGAAACACTTAAAAAATGCTTTTTTTGTCTTGTCTCACTGTATATTTTATCGCTGCACAGTGGTTGTTTCTTGGAGTTCTGTACTTTTTTGAAGGGTAATAGAGACATAGTGAATTTGGGAAAAAGAATAGGGATGGGGGATGTGAGTCTTTAGGCTCAATACTCACTGGCTGTCAAAGACTCACATTTACTCAGACATCAATAGAAGGACTTTTAGTTTATTTTAAATCTGATTGTATATTAGAGAAAGAAAAAGTCTTCCATGACACAGTAATATCCAATAGTCAGGCCTTATTAATTAAATGGTTTAATGGAAGATTCCAAGAGATTATGTTCAGATAAGTTGTATGTATGTCAATTCTAGGCATCTTCATTAGAATAAACAGTAAAAGTAATACATACATCTTCCATTGTATCATAACAGGTTTTTTTTTTTAAATCAAAACTACAGCTGTCATTTTAATTTAGGAAATGGTAGTTCAGGAAAATGCTTTTTCTTTGAACTTTCTAAGAGAATTTCTTTCTGGTCTTAACAGAATTATATAGCACTTGGGAATAAAGATACACCCCAGCAAGCCTGCACTGGAGGCCAAGATGGAGAAAACCTCCACAGCTACCATGACCTTGCCCTTGGTGCTATGGTAGACAGGAAGAAAGGTGACCCAGACACTGCAGAACACCAACATGCTGAATGTCAGCAACTTGGCTTCATTGAATGTGTCAGGGAGATTCCTGGCCAAGAAAGCCACAACGAAGCTCCCTAATGCAAGGGAGCCATGGTATCCCAAGACACAGTAGAATGCAATAATTGAGCCCTTGTTACATACAATGATGATGTGGCCATGCCCACTCTTGGCATCAATGTCAATAAATGGAGGAGAAACTCCCAGCCAAATTGCACAGAGAATAATTTGGATGAGGCTACAGATGACAATGATGAAGTTGGGTGCCCTAGAAATCAGGAAGCACCTTATCCTTCTTCCGGGGGTTGTGACTCTAAAAGCCAGAAGCACAGTAACTGTTTTGGCCAACACAGTGGAAATAGCTACTGTGAATATCACTCCAAATGTGATTTGCTGAAGGATGCACGTAGCTGCATTGGGATGGCCAATAAAGAGCAAGGGACATAGAAAGCAAAAGATGAGTGAAACAAGCAAGGTGTAGCTGAGATTCTGGTTATTGGCCTTCACAAGTGGAGTGTCATGGTGCTTTATGAAGATCCCAAGAACAATAGATGTGAATGCAGTGAAGCACAAGGCCATTAATGTCAGAGACATCCCCAGGGGGTCTTCATAGGTCAGAGAACTCACAGTTTTGTCAATGCAATGGATCTGTTGTGCTTTGGCATACTGGTTCTCTGGACACTTTACACACTGATCCACATCTGATGGAGAAAGAAAACTATGATTAGTGAATCTTGAGCATTTTTATTGATAAGACATTTCATTTATGTGTGTTGAAATTAGCATTGCAATATGTGCACTTGTGTTGAGGATGACATTGAAAGATAATGCTGCATAGCAATGCTTCCATTTCATGATATTCATTTATTATCTTTTAGTGGAATAAAACCAAAAAATCATTACAATGTCTATTAAATGTGTGTTAATGATGCTGTTTGTCATGCTATAAAGACAGCACAGATGGTTTTAGTAGAAAGACAGGAGATAGAGGATTAGGGAGGGAGAAGGGAACAGAACAAAGGAGAGAAGGAGTTGATATTTGGGCCAGGAAGACAAAACTTCATCTGGATAAAGTAGAAACAGGCATAACCTGTAGAAAAATGGCAATTTATAAATTTATAAATTTTAGGATGAAGTGATAAATTAGATTATGGGGTTAATTAGGACACTCACAAGCGATTTTTGCTAGTTTGACTTTACAATTTTATAGCTGGACATTGATAGTCTCAGGTTGAGGAAGTGAGTGAAAAAGGCAATAGTTCTTCATGGCTAGATTGGGAATGATATTGTCTTAGGTTTTATATTTCTTTGAAGAGAAGTGATGACCATGGCAAATCTTTTAAGGAAAAACATTTAATTGGGTGTCTTATAGTTCAGAAGTTCAGTTCATTATCATCATGTTGGGGTATGGTGGTATGCAGATGAACCTGACATTGTAGGAGCATTGAATTCTACATCTTTATCCATAGACAAAAGAAACTAAACAGACTCACTGTCTGTGTCTTGAGCATATATGAGACCTCAAACTCTGCTTCCACAGAGACACACTTGATCCAATAATACCATACCTTCTTCAACAAGGCCAAACATCCTAATAGGATCACACCTTGTGATGTCATGGAGAAAAATTTTATTGAAGCTACCATAGTAATCTAATGGTTTATAGCAATGTAAAGGGAATGTGAGAGAAGAACAGGGTTTGTTAGAGATATATCTTCCACGCTTAGAATGGCTATAGTCTTGTCAGAACCATAAATTTGCATTTGTTTACGTGTAAAGTATCAGAAGAGATGGTGAATATGAGGTCAGTTGGATTTATATGGGGTAAGTAGGAGGGGGAAATGAGAAAGGAAGGTTATACAAATAATTTTGATGTTGGGAAATGCAAACATAATCTAATAAATTAAATAAGTATGCCCTTAGCTGTGTCATCATCTGATAGTAAGGCTGGTGTACTCCTCAGTATTGTTCATAACAAGCCGCAACATGACAGATCCCATGAGTGGCAAGCAGTTGAGAGAACTGCTTCCAGGTTGCATCATCACATATGGTGTAGGACAATGGTTTGTATTCTGTCAGTTATATTTTAAGTAAACTCTAATTGGTCAAGAAGGAAGTATAGACTGGACTAGCAGACAGGAAGTAGAGGTAGGTCAATGAGAACAGGAGAATTCTGGTAATAATGAACCCATTCCTCTGAAGTCCTGGCCCAGCCTCAGAAGAAGCATGATGTGACTGCCACGCCAAACAAGGTACTGAGCCATGTGGCTAAAATAGATATGAATAATGGATTAATATAAGTTTTAAGGGTTAATAAGAAGCCTGAGCTAATGGGCTGTAAAAGGAGCTGCTGGGCTGTGTTCCCACTGCCTGGCTCATGGCTAGCTTTACCCAAAATAATTAAATAGAAACTGCATTTTTTTAAACACTGCCTGTCCCATTAGTTTCAGCCTCTTATTGGCTAATTCTCATATCTTGCTTTAACTCATATTTAGTAATCTGTGTAGCACCATGAGGTGGTGGCTTACTGAGAAAGGTCCTAACCTGTGTCTGTCTCGGAGAGGAGAGTCATGGCAACTGCCTGACTCTGCTTTCTTTCTCCCAGAATACAGTTCTGTCTTCCCCGCCTACCTATGTTCTGACCTATCAGGCCAGGCAGTTTTCTTTATTAATTAACCAATGAAAACAACTGATAGATAGAAGACTCTCCTACATCAATGGACCAATCAGTTTATGATTAATGTAGAACTCTGTGTGATTGCTTTGGAACTTAACAATTGTTGGAACCAGGCAGGACAGAAAACTCTGACAACAAATGGCATGCAATGTGGGACTGGAGAAATCTATTTAAAAGCCTAAGAGAGCTTGTGAAGTTATCATAGATAAAAAACAATATGGTTAAACATGGCTTCTTAATAGCAGTATTTTCTCTTGTGGGCTCTGCTTGATAGAGGCAAGCACTATCATTGAAGAGAGGATTCCTGACTCAGCTTTAGCCGCAAAACATAGCATCTCTCTTAAGAGGTCCTGCCACAAAACACTTAAATGATGTTGATGAAAATTTGACCACATGCTTTCTGGTGGTAGCAGGGACCTTGAAATGCCAAAGAGTTGTGGCAATAAACATGGCTACAACTGGTACCTCTGCAATGAGACTGGAAATTCAGAAAGCTAAGGAATGGACCGGATACAGCTGTCAAAGCCATGGCTTTAATCCTCTCCATATTGCTTAGCAAATTAGACTCAAGTGGTCAGAAAAAGAGAGATATATAGTACAGAGAGTTTTAAAGATGAAGAAAACCTCTAAATGTTTTAAAGTGTGTTAAAAATATATGCGAGCTTGGGAGAGAAAAGAAAAAGGTTAAATTCCTTTAAAAAAAGAAAGTCGTTGGGTGTGGTGGTACACACCTTAAATCCCAACACTTAGAAGACAGAGGCAGGCAGGCTTCTATGAGTTCAAGGCATGGTGGCAAATGCCTTTAATCCCAATGTTTGAGAGGCAGAGGCAGGCAGATTTCTGTGACTTCAAGGACAGCCTGGTCTACAGAGTGAGTTCCAGAACAAAGATACACAGAAACCCTGTCTCAAAAAGCCAAAAATTAAAAATAAAAGAAATAGAGTTTAAAATAAAGTCACATAAAGATGAAAAACACACAGAGAAACTGGTTACTGTATGTTATTATGTTCTCTTTGAATTGTTTGAATGCTGAGGAAGGAGCAACAGCTGCTAAAATGTATTTGTTTATAAATGTTGCTAAATTAATCCAAGATTGAAGTCAAAAGGTATGTTTTGGAGAAGTTCTGCTTTTATTTTCATAGAAAATAAAAGGCTATAGATTTATTCTGAGTTAAGAAAAATTAGGTTTGATCAAGGAAGACCACCAAGACCTTTATCATAAAGGGGTACTGAATTTTGTCAAATGCTTTTTCACAATCTAATAAAATCATCATATAGTTTTTTTAATTTCAGTTTATTTATACGATGGATTACATTGATATATTTCCATTTGTTGACAGAGCTCTGCATCTCTGGGATGAAGCCTACTTGATCATAATGGATAATTTTTCTGATGTGTTCTTAAACTCATTTTGTCAGTATTTTATTGAGAATTTTTGTATCAATTGTTCATGAGTGAGACTGGTCTGTAATTCTCTTTCTTGGTTGAATCTTTCTGTGATTTTGGTATCAAGGTAACAGTTGCTTAATAAAAGGAGTTTGGCAATGACTTTTCTGTTTCTACTTTGTGAAACACATTAAGGAGCATAGACATTACTTTCCCTGACTTCAAACTCTATTACAGAGCTACAGTAATGAAAAAAGCTTGGTCTTGGCATAAAAATAGAGATGTTGATCAATGAAATTGAATCGAAGACCCGGATACTAATCCACAAACCTATAAACACCTGATTTTTGACAAAGGAGCTAAAAGAATACAATGGAAGAAAGAAAGGATCTTTAACAAATTGTGCTGGAATAACTGGATATCAACCTGTAAAAGAATGAAAATAGATCCATATATATCACCATGCTCAATATTCAGATCCAAATGGATTAAAGACATCAATATAAATCTGACCACTCTGAACCTGATAGATGAGACATTGGGAAGTAGTCTGCAATACACGGGCACAGGAGACCACTTCCTACATATAGCCCCAGGAGCACAGACAATAAGAGCAATATTGGATAATGGGACCTCCTGAAACTGAGAAGCTTCTGTCATTAAGACAAAAAGGCAACCTACTGAATGAGAGAAGATCTTCACCAATCCCACATCAGAAAAGGCCTGTTCTTCAGAATATATAAAGAACTCAAGAAACTAGACTTTAAAATTCTGAATAACCCAATTAAAAAATGGGGTACTGAACTGAACAGAGAATTCTCAACAGAAAAAGTTCAAATGGCCAAAAGACTCTTAAGGTCTTGTTCAACTTTCTTAGCAATCAGGGAAATACAAATCAAAACAACTTTGAGATACCATCTTACACCTGTCAGAATGGCTGAAATCAAAAAGACCAATGATAACCCATGCTTTAGAGGATGTGGAGTGAGGGGAACATTCATCCATTGTTGGTGGGAATGCAAACTTGTACAGCCACTGTCGCAATCAGTGTGGTGGTTTCTCAGGAAACTGGGAGTCAACCTCCCTCAGGACCCAGCAATTCCTCTCTTGGGAATATACCCAAGAGATGCCCTATCATACTACAAAAGCATTTGTTCAACTATGTTCATAACAGCACTATTTGTAATAGCCAGAACCTGGACACAACCTAGGTAACCCTCAATGGAAGAATGGATAAAGAAAGTATGGCACATATACACATTAGAGTTCTACTCAGTGGAAAAAAATACATGTTTAATTTCACATGCAAATGGATGGAAATAAAAAACACTTTACTGAGTGAGATAACCTAGACCCAAAAAGATGAATATTGTATGTACTCACTCACTAGTGGTTTCTAGCCATAAACAAAAAACATTGAGCCTATAATTTGTGATCCTAGAGAAGCTAAATAAGAAGGTGAACCCAAAGCAAAACATATATTTATCTTCCTAGATATTGGAAGTAGACAAGGTCGCTGGGCAAAAGTTGGGAACACGATGGTGAAGGTAGGGTTGGGGGAAAGGGCAATGGGGAGAGAGAAGGGAGAAAGGGAGTATTGGGGAGAGCTTGGAGGACTGGGATGGTTGAGATGGAAG